TTTAGTTAGGTGTACGTATAGTATACTATATATATATTATTATATATAGTATATATATATATTATAAGTTATATAATTCTATTCGGAAAAGTAGACCTTCTGTGAGTCTCCCACATCCATGTGTGTAGGACCCCAAAGGATCACCATTAAATTTTACACAGATCTCTAGAAAAGTCAAGTCCCACACCCATGTGATAACTTTTCTAGAGATCTGTGCCAAATTTAATGGTGATCCTTTGGGGTCCTACACACATGGGTGTGGGAGGGTTTTATAGGATCATTACTCATATATATATATGGTATTCTCTATTTTTGAATTAAATCTTGTTTTTTTTTTTTTGAAACTTTATATCCTGTTTTTATTTCTCTTGCCTTTTGCAATATGTGTGCTTGTGGAGTACCTTCTCTCCTGAGCAATCATTCTTTCAAAATTCGATTTCCTGGAATTGTTCTTAAATTTGTGTACAACCTGTTGAAATGCTATGATTACCTAAACAAATCGTGTTTATTTCATAAGGGATCTCAGAAATTGGTTTTCGAGTTTTAAGGCTTTCATAGAATGTGCGAACAGTTACAGTTGTATATGTGATTGAGGTGAAAGCATTCTGTTTATGAAGAAAAAAGTGACTACACTTCCAGGGGATTTGGTAAAGAATATGGTCTAATAAGGGTAACGACTTGAAACTTTCCCCTAAACCTGTCCCAAGCCCAGGTAAGGGAGGTGGTTGCATTAGGTAGACAGCCAGCGTAAAGTTTTGCCACATGTTATCATGAATTCTAAATTTATGGCATGGTGTAACTGGATGCATATAGCCAACCCCAAATCATTGGGGTAAGGCTTGGATGACTATGATGATGATGATGATGCTGATGCTATGAATCTTTCGATTTTTGCCCAAATTTTGCTTTGATTATTATGATGCTGTAGTTCCATCGTGCTGTCTCTTGTCCTTTATGCACTATGATAACTTTTCCTCTTTCGTAGTAAATCTAATGATTGAGGTTATGAAGAAGGCCGGCAGGGGCTCTTCTTCACCTTTTACTTTGACTCATTAGTGTCAACCATTGTGATCAGCAGACAGACGTCTTGGCAGCCTTTGTTGCTATCTTATGTTTTTTTAATATTGTGTTCAAATATTGTTGAGGGTGCTGGGATTTATTTTTTCTTGTTATGCGGTACCATGTTATGGAATAGTTATTTGGTGCCAACCATGTGAATCAATCTGGACACCAACATTCTGGCTGATGCATGTCATTGATCACCCATTTTAGCTGTAACGCAGGCCTTCTGTCGTAGACCTTGCATGTGAATCCATGATTCTGTCTGTGTTTCTGACAACAGTATAGTATTTAAGTTAAATATAATAAGATGGACATGACTTGTCCTTCAGCATCCTGTGAAGCACTCCCAACTGGCTCCTAACATGTATGTGTTTATCAAATTCTGCGACACTCTGATCATAATTGAGAAGTGTGTTTCTTCAAATTGCTTCTGGTTTAAAGCTGCATATTTGTTGCAATTTTCCCTAGAGGCACATAAATTGAAGAATCTTGTTTGTAATTACAATATCGGGAGAGACCAATCCTTGGAGTCCTTTTGGCAATCAGTCTATTTTGCTCTGAATATATTCCTTTCACAAACATATGCGATATTCAGTATTCCACTTGTGCCCTTGTTCATTTTAAGGTGTGCTTTTAGGCAGGAACAAATAATTATAAATTTTTAGGCCCTTTGTCATCTTTGTAATATGTACTTGAGTAGGGAATGAGTTCCTGGAAAGTTAAATTCTTTTTGTGCAAATTCTGCATGGAGGTCGAGTTATCTGAAACATGGTTAATAGTTCACATCTTTTGTGATGCTATAATTCTTGATTGGTCACTCCAATCAATTCTAAAATGTCACACTTTTGTGGATTTGTTTGCAGAGAACTTCACAACTAAAGATGTTCGTTCAGAGGCAAAGGAAACCTGCAATAACTGGTTTTGCAAGATTGGTTCGATACGTGAGCTACTTCCTCGCATGTAAAATTGTCCACTTTTTAAATTGTAGCTATAAATAGAATTTTGACATACATTTTTTGATTTAGTTCGTGAGTGTGCATTCTGATCTTTACAATGGATATCATTGTTTAAATTCATAAATCATTTTATTCGTTGGCAATATAATCGAGGAATTTGGGAAATGTTTTTTACTTTTAGCTTGAATGACTGAGCTTCTAGTGATCATTGGGATTTTTCTACTCATATATTTCCCATACCAATATCCATTTTCTAGTTTTAGTCTCTACACCATTTGGAATTGTTATTACTTGTTATTACCTGATTATATAGTTACTTGTGTGTTGCTTTTTACTGTTGCTGTTGTTTGTGAATATCACCTTAGTGATTGATCGCAAATTTTATTGGTATGAGCATATTCTAATATCTTCGAAGGAAGTTAGGTAGTAGTAGCTACTAGAAGGCTATCTATTTTGTATGGTCTTGTATTCCCCTCTGAAAACATTTCATTCTTAGTTTTGAGTTACCATTTCCTAATTTTTCCCAGATTTTGGTTCTTGTAATTAGGATAGAAATATCCGTAAATAGGCAGAGTTGGTTTGTTTTTAGATGTTTTTGGGCACATTTTTTGTTCTTATTATTCTTGTGATCTTTATTTTATATTAAACATTTTAGGCAATATGATGCATGCATTTGGGAGATCTACAGTGCCTTATGTTTCTATGAGAAACTTTGTTGGCCTCATGAAATAATTGGGGAGTTGCACTTTATGAAATGGATATCTTGCTGCTTTTTTGTTACGAGAAATAAAAGTCGTTTTCTCCCTAGAAGTTATTTCATATTTGGGTGCTCTCTTATCATGACAACTGTGACATAATACTTGAAATACTTGGATTGTAGTGTCTCTTTGCTCAAGTATTGACCATGAAGTGGCCACTAGGATATTAGAATACAGTGGGCTCACCTAGAAATTATTTTCCTTTAGAGACGTTGATTGACCTTGTCATACAAATGGCCATAAATCAACCAAAGTTTTGTATATTTAATGGATTGATTGTTATTCGTGGAGTAACTGAAGTTAGGAAGTTGGTGCATACAGTGTGTATGGTAACAACGTACCCTTTGGTTGTAGTAACTTAGCTTAGGTATGCTGAAGGATTTACAAATGAGGAGAAACAATTTAATGATGAAGTCATTAATGCATAATGGGACTGCTAAACGGTACCTGGCTACCATAAAGGAGAGATTGAGGAAGATGTTCCTCATAGGATTAGAGCTGAGTGGACATCTTATGTGATCGTCGCTTACCAATTCAACTGAAGGGGAAGTTCTGTAGATTGGCTGTAAGACCAGCCATGCTCTATGGGGTGGAATGTTGGGGGCTCAAGAAACCATATATCCATAGAATGAGTATGGTTGAGGTGAGAATGTTGAGATGGATGAGTGGTAAGATAAGGAAGGATGGGATTCAGAATGAATACAATCAAGGGAACTTAGGGGTAGCCAACAGATTAGGGTTTGAAAAGCTAGGGGATAAGGTGTTAATTTCAAGTCTTGATTGAAGATAGCTTACCAAGGGTTGAATGACTTGGATGAGGCTTCCCTTCACCCCATAGATTTCCTATATCAATTGTCAATATTGCTGCAAGTAAAGAAGAATTTTCTAGGCCTAATCAATCCCTATATCCTATTTCAATGGCCCACATTGACGAAAGGTTTTTGTTTTTGTATTACTGTGTCAAAGGGAAACATGTATGAAGATAAAAGATTGGCATCCCTCAGGTTGGGGACTCGTTACAACAAAAAATAAAGGGCTAGGAACTTCCACGAAACCCTAAAAATGGAAAAGCCACAAAGGGGGATCCTTCCTCAAACATTTGAATGCTATTCCCTATTGTTGGAATCTGGCGGGAATCCCAAATGCTATGGAAACACCGAAACAAACGGATCAGATAGAAATCACTTAACTTTTTCCAGATCTGATTCTTCTTGTGCGGTTGATGCGTTCCTCACATCTTTTTTGTGTGTGTCTCCTCTAGTTCAGGAGTTCGATGCCTACATCCTTAGGCCAACTGCCGCTTACTAGAACTGGCAGTATAATATACACATTAGAAATCCCGAGCCTTTGATGGAAGGCTGAGCGCTCTTGTATCATTTATTAGTTTTCTTTTATGGCTTTTAGTGAGAGAAGACTAGGAGAGAGAGAGGGGAGCTTTTGGTTGTAGTGAGAGAAATATTTTTGGAGAGATACTTACATCCCCATGTGAAATCTCTTCTTTTCTCTCTCTTGAAGAACACTATATGGAAAAATATCCCATGAAGGAATCTTCTTCAAAAATTGAGTTATCTTACCTCTTTTGGAATGTTCCCTTAAATCAACCTTATCCCCATTTAGAAATCCCATATAATATGGGATTCCCATATCTTTTATCTCTACCACCAATAATTCCAGAATTTCATAGGCATCCTCTTTTTTATTAGCCACCAAGAATGCTGAAACTATCATGGATATCCTTGCACCCATAAAGGGGCTGACGCCAAATCCAACATCTCCCAGTCGTCATGCAGTGGGTGCACTAAAAGATGTCATCATCTTTTTGTGATATATCACAGCACAAGAGCCCTCTCATACTTTGTCAAGAAATACGTCGTGAGACCTTAAGGAGCAATCCATCTCTGCAAAGAGAACCACATTAAGTCTCCATCAAGCTAACGTGGAACACCTCTTTTTTCTTATTAAAATAATGCTTCTACCTACCTTAGACTCAATTACTCAAGTCTGTCTTAGACTTAGTTGGTCACACCAGATTGATTATCTCTACTAATCCCTTGTGAGCTACTTTATACTTAGGAGACTACTCAACCCGTATATGTGCTCCCACTCAGCTCTTCTAATAAAAACATCATTCTCATCCAAGCTAAGAAATTCAATTGCAAAAATATTGTATTATATTATAATAGTTTTTAAAAAACATTTTGGAAAAGAACACCCATCATCAAAACCTCAAGTTAATGATCTTCTAATTAGAGTTCACTTATCTCTTTAGGTACCATTCGGAGTGTGATGCTAACGGTCTTCCCGTAGGCCTACTATTATTCCTTTTTGACTTGACTATTTTTGTAGCTCTGTCTCCAACCCAGTCGAATCATATATGATCATGAGAAAGCACGCTAAAGTAGTAACATCAAATCTCCACTACCTAATATAGTCATAGGATCAATACGGGCACTCAAGTAATAGTGGTCTCGCTAAGCACGTGGTATGAGTCACACTTCACGGTGTAAATGATAAACAATACCAGCATCCACTTCGGATTTTCACCATAGGTCTTAAAGCAGTCGCAACCATGCATCATGTGATCGCACCCAAGCAACTAACCTGAGCATCCTCAGTGCTCACATCTGGCTATCATATAGGCTATATGATTTGGTGGGATGACATAAACATATAGATCATGTCGATTCCTAACTATGGAATCTCATTTCGATCTCGTATTGAGGCGATACACACCCTGTGTGTGCCTCATCCTCCAATGTCCTAGACAATGAGAGTGGTCAACACTTTGCTGATGATATTATCTAACAATGAGCAAGTGTCCTAGTGCACTAGTGTGAATGTGCAATAAAATCATGTGTGTTGTGAACAAAGTATAAAACCATAAGTGATTTACCTAAATGGTAAGTAAAAAATAACGTCCATGAATTGGAAGAGCCAAACAACAATGGTGGTGCAGAAAACCAATTCGGGACTCCCAGGTCCCAGTTCCATGACACAAGCCCTAGACTTCTTTCAAGCTATAGGTTGAGTCATGGGGTATACTAGTGGGATAACATGTTATGACTGTCTCTCTCCTTTCAATGACACCTAACACATAGTGATACCCAGTCTCTACGTGCTATGTCAAATTGTGATACTTGGGATCATTTGTGAAAGCTTATGCCGCAATGTTATCGCCAAAACATGCTCATAGGCTCTCTAGCACTCACTATGATGCCCAGCTTTGCATGTTCCTTGTGAGCCATACGCTCTCCCACAATGCGACACATCAATCCATATATTTTGTATTCATCTGGGACATGCCAACTATGTCGTCTGACTTGTTGCACCAAGGAATTGCTCCCATTCCTAGAGTGGAGACATTTTCTGATGTCAACCGTTAGTAATCCAGATCATCATCTAATTAGGCTTACTCTATCCTGATAGTGGGGATCATTTCCTAGAAAGTTCGACGAGTAGTCTATGGTTCTTTGGAGATCTCGGAGTGTCAAGTTCACTGTCTGCCAATGTTTCAGACTTGGATTGCTCTAGTGGTGGCTTACGAAGCCCCACAACATATCTTGTGACGTTCACAACATGGCATTAATAAGACTTCCTACTATATTCTTATATAGTACCAAATCATCTATTTTATTAGTCTCCATCCATGGACAGAGATTTAGACTAAGCATATGACCTTTCTTGACTTGAGTATCGATGGACCCCCAATCATGCATCCTTAATCTTTTTGAGATTTTCCTAATGCAAGTCAATCAAGACAAACTTAAGGAGCCTCTCCGAATGATCGTGCTTGATCTGAACATTTAGCATGTCCTTCACATCGAAACTGGAGGACAACCATTCTTTAGCAGTATCGATCTTCTCCTTGTCATTCCTTGTCATTAGGATCTCGTCAACTCGTAATAACGAGATCATGGAACTCCCACTATTCTCGATGATTGATCCTTTCAAGAAATATGATATGAACAACCATGTGGTCACAAGTTGCAGAGCCTAACTCACTATAATGGCTAATGTGTGTTAAATTAATATTATTCTCACCACCAGGGAGAATCTGTCAGTGTAGTTCACACACTCAATTAGGTAAGCCCTTTGCCACTTTCAAGGTTTTGTGTGTTGTCTATAGTCCCATCAACCTTTCTATCATATGGAAGATCCACGAGTTCCTATACTAGATTTTTCTCCATGGAATTCTTATCTCTATGTCCTTTGCGACAATCCACTTGCTAGCAATAATTGATTTCAG